CTCTCTCTCTCTCTCTCTCTCTCTCTCTCTCTCTCTCTCTCTCTCTCTCTCTCTCTCTCTCTCTCAACACACATACACAAGCACACACCCTGTCTCACACAACACGCTCTCTACCACGCACACACTCCCCGTGGGACCTTACGCTAAGTTTTGGTCCAAACGGTGGCAAAGCAGTCACAAGGTGGATCTTTGCGGGGGGGTGGCAGTTTCTTTGAAAAATGTGGGACCATTGGTTACCCGTGGGACCCAAGCTGGGTTTTCGTCAAAACATTGGCAAAGCAGCGGCAGGGTGAAAAAGTGAAAAAGTCTGAATCGGAAAGGGTGCGACCTTGGGTGCAGGTTGAAACGACACACCTACATTGCATTTGCAAGTGCAAACTTCTAAACCTCACCAATAATGCCCCCTTTATCAATCGAGCATATACAAACTATGGACTGCGCACCCGTGCCCTCACGGTAAGTCGATTTGAAAAATCAGGGACCGGTAGCTGCCAGTAGGACCGCGCTTTGGGTTTTGGTCGGAACGGGTTTTGGTCGATATCAAAACGGTGGCAAAGCATGGGCAAATGGAAAGGGCTCGCTGGGCCGGGACAGGGACTGAAAAGTCCGACGCAATTGTGCAGTTTTGGGCAGTGGTTGAAACGACACTTTCGTCCGACGAAAGTGCTCAGGCTTGGGCAGTGGTTGAAACGACACTTCGGACTTGCGCAAAGTTTTTTTTTTTTTTCTCTCTCTCTCTCTCTCTCTCTCTCTCTCTCTCTCTCTCTCTCTCTCTCTCTCTGTGTGTGTGTGTGTGTGTGCGTTTATCAATCAAGCATATGCAAAATTCGGGCTGCGCACACGTGCCCTCAGGGTAAGTCAATAAGCTTTATATCAACTGAATCCTCGGCCTCTTCGGTCGAAGAATTACTTGCGATCCTAACCATCATAGCGCGCGTCACAATAACGTGCACGCATACTAACGAAAATTTATTTATCGACAAGCCTCGACTTCAATGGCTGAGGAAACAGTCTCAGACTGTCGCGCAAAGCTCGCACACCTTTTTATTTTAGACTGGGCCCGTCTTGGCAGCCGATGCCGTGGTTGTGTCGGCTGCGAAAGCATGGCCAAATACCCTTGTAAGGGTATTTGGCCCGACACCACTCCCATGCGATAAACAGTTTTCAAGTGGTGTCGAACAAGGCCCACAGGTCACCCTAACTCATGGAAGGTGATTAATTTCCCCTACCTTGTTTTTTTTGTTCCACTACCCCTTGACCAAACCCTTGAGACCACCGTCCTTGAAACTGAAGTGCTGATGGCATTGCACCAAGAACCATGGTGATTGGTGGAAAAAAAAAGAAACAAAGAAAAAGGTCAGTATATTACCCGTTTTGTAGGGTCCAGCCCTTGCGCCCCCAAGTGACCTCCCGAGGCACCCATGGCATTTTCGTTGATTTGGCTGGGCAGCACTTCCGTTTCAAGGGCGGATACTTGGCCGCGGGGATGTGGAAACAATTACCGATTTCAAGGGTACGCCATTAGGGCGGGGTCGCTTCCTAATGGTGTAGAAAGAGACCCTACGGAGTGATGGAGTGATCCTGATCAGACCCTAGCCCTCCTTGGGGGTTATCCAGGTCATCGTTGGCGCTGCGGAGCCTGAGAGAATCTGACCGCGACTAAGGTCAGATGCACCCGAGAGAGTCCTCGTTCTGTGCCCTAAGCCGCGGCTGAAGGTAAGGTATTTAGGGCTAACTTGGCGCGAATCTGATCCCATTTATGGCCAAATTCATGCTTTCTAGGCACGTGCACGAAGAAGTGGGGCCTCTTCTCCCGAAGGAATTGTTGTCGAAGGGGTGGGAAGCTGACACCCGAGTTTGAGCACTGCCGTGGTGGTGAGCGGGGGAGCGGGGGAGCGTGGGTGAAACGCGGCGAGGGGCTGGTTTGGGAAAAAAGCAGCGCACAGCGTCCAGGTTCACGGGATCTTTGCCGCCAATCGATCGCAGCGAGCTCGCCCTGCTTCGGTTCCCGCTAAGGCCGCAGCCTCGCTGCGTACCTTCCCGGCCGGTTGCCAGCTGCGTGTCTGTCCGTGCCGCGATTTTGGACGGAAGACGGCTGCCTAACTTTAGGCGAGTTTCGCTCGCGCTCCCTGGACCGCCACCGCCAGTCTCGATGGTCGTCGGTGCATAGGAGCAATGGGCGCGAGGAGACAAGGGGGTGAGGGGAGAGAGGCTTGTGAGCAGTGCCTGCTGCAAGGATAGAGGGCTCCAGTCGGGACTGGAGGGGTGTTTGGCAAGGGCGGGGTGGGCCCGTGGGGGCTATTTTCCGAAATGTACCGCCGCGATCATGAAAACTCGTCTGAAATTTTTGAGCGGGTGTGGGGGGAGAGCGAGTGTTGTGTAAGCCGGTAGCGCAGGACAGCACCGTTGCGCGCGGTCGCCCACGCCTCGGTCGCTGCGATAGATTGCACGGTCCTCCGTTGGTTGCAGAGGACGGTCGGGAGGTTCGGTCGTCCAGCGTTGGATTGTGGTACCCGAGGCCCGTGATTGCTGGCAGCTCAGCATTGAGCAGGACAGGAGAGTAGCAGTGGCAGCAAGTAGCAAGCCAGCGTCGATTCCCGTGTATGCTCGTACGAAGCAGATCCACTCACGTCGTCATCAACACCTCCTCTCTGTGCTTCGCTTTTTCGTTCGGCGCTAGTGTAGTAGCGTCTATCGAGAGCGAGGAACGTGTTTTCTCGTTTTGGTTGTGAGACGAGTCAAGGATCACATAGAAGAATACTCGGAGTGAGGAGGAAGGGAAGGGAGAAGGGAGGGAGAAGAAAGAAACAGACGTTGCGCGATCATTCTCCGGGTCGCTTTTGTGTTCTAGCTACAGTGGCATACCTGCTGCCTCCCTTCTCACCCGGGAACGTTTCTGCTCCTGTTATTCAAATCGTACAGTGCCCTATCTTGCTTAGTTCCTGCCTTACCGTGTGTTTTTCCCCCTCTTTTGGGTGTCGACTGGTTTCTTTGCCAAGCCCCACATCAGTCATTAATTAATTCTTGCGAATGAACGACAACTCCAAGACACCTCAGAAAGGAGAAAGGCAAACTGACGAGGGTCGTGAAGGGCTGCGCGAGTGACTGTGTCGGTGTGTAGTGTGTGTGTGTGTGTGTGTGTGGGTGGGTGCGTGTGTGTGTGTGTGTGTGTGTGTGTGTGTGTGAGAGAGAGAGAGAGAGAGAGAGAGAGAGAGAGAGAGAGAGAGAGAGAGAGAGAGAGAGNGAGAGAGAGAGAGAGAGAGAGAGAGAGAGAGAGAGAGAGAGAGAGAGAGAGAGAGAGAGAGAGAGAGAGTCGGGAATGTGTAAGGTGGTGTGCAATAGTAGGTTCATGACCATGTGGAGGAAGGGGAGGTAGGTGTTGCTTGTTGCGACCGGTCCTTGGAGTAGTACAAGAGAGTATTGCCCTGCAAGCTCGTAACGCCGTGCCATTGCACGGCGGTAAGGGCGACAGGAGGGAGGACGACAGAGCTGAAGCCCGGAAAGAGGGAAAGTGAACGAGATGGAGGGTGGGGGGATACCTCCTCGTACAGTAGAAGAAGTATTTAGAGATTTCAGCGGCCGGCGTGCTGGCATGTTAAAGGCATTAACCGAGGGTAAGGAGCAACGTAGACCTTCGTTGCCGCTGCTTCTCTCTAAGTTCTACGGTCTTGTCTTTCACACATTTGTCCTCGTCACTATCACGTGCCTTTTATTGTACTACTAGGGTTCGTTGCCCTTCACTTGTATTTCCATCCCCTCTGTTTATGGGGCTTCTTCGCTGTTCTTCTATCCACCTTCCTCTCTCTGTCTCTCTCTCTCTTTTTTCACTTTTTCCATTTCCTCATCTCATCGTGTCAGGCGAGAAACCCAACGACGTCGTGTTTTTTCTAGCCAAGTCATCTCCCCTGCTCCCCCTCTCTCTTCCCCGACCTTGCGGAACTCCACAACATATGCTATGACACCACTTTCTCTTACAAGCTCCGAAGTGAGCCCGGAACTCTCTACCTTGTTGTCCGTATTATTCTGCGTTGAAGGTCCAACCAACGGCAATCAACCGATATCACTGTTTTTAGAGAAACTTGTATGCTGGTCTGACATCCGAGACTCAGCCCCGTGGGAGCTCGCCAGTATCCCGGGCTCCCCGGTTGGAGAGCACGCCTTCACCGCAATATGGTCGGTTAGTGAAATAATCAGAGTTCTCGACTGTCCGCTTCTGCGGCAACCCGAGAGTTGTGAAGATCATCAGTCAGTGTTTGCTTGGAATTTCAAATCATTGTGGGCTGTCACGTGAGTTCGTCCCGGTTCTCCCCTCCAGTCATGCATGGGATTCTCATCCAACTGCTGCTCTCTGGTCAGAAGACCGGCGTGAGCCCATCAGCCAGGTCCGGGTTATCTGTCGATGATCATGGAGCAGGCAATCAGACCCCTTAATAGCTTATCATCGTGAATACGTCAACAATGGTCTCATCGTCGAGTAGGTAGTCTGTGTTATCTTCACGCTTTCGCCTACTGCGTGGTTCTCTGTTCGGCGGACACAAGAGTACTGCGTGATTCTCTTTCGAGGGAGTTCCGTCTTGCAGAGGAAGCTGACTCGGGTCGGTAGTGCCGGAGATGGCTGCTGCGGCACAGGACGTAAAGGCCGAAAAAAAGAAAGTCAGTGGCTGCGTGCCCACCTTCATACCCTCTGGGACGTATCTATTGATTTTTACGTAAGTGAAGATATAGTCTCTGTTTGGTTTTATTGCGTAAACGAGAGGAGGCTAATACTCCTCGGCGGTCTTGTTTCGCTGGCTCCTGAGGGTATATATGAGGGGAGCCAGAAGGAGGTCGGCGTCGTTCTTATTATTACACCAAGCACGCAGTATTTTACGTTTCTGCCCGTGCACGCTTACCGCTCTCAGTCGTAGATTTTCCCCCAATCATTGAGACTTCTTCCTCCCGCAATTCTCCTTCTTATGTCTCTATTTTCTTTAATGTGTGTTGTTTTGTCCTTTTGTTTTGCGTCTTTACGTTTCTTTGTACAAGGGTTCTGTTGAGGCTTGGTCTTCTTCTTTGGCTAGTAGTGTTTGGTTTTCTCCTATCTCACACTGCGGCATGGCCTCAACGGTCAAATTTTCGCTGACGTTTTGCTGGCTTGCGCTGGAGCTATGTGTGTGTATTTCCGACAATTGTGCAACCTTGTTTAGCTTCGAGTTTGGAGGGAACTGGTACGCCTGGGCCGTCCGTGGAAGTAGTTTCTGGCAAATTAACAGGTCCCCAATGAGTTTTACACAGTGGGGACTGATATTTCCCTGAATTTCGTCGAGGTGTACTTGCTGAGTATTCTTGTTTGAGTGGACTGACTTAATTCTTCTCTGGATGCTGGGTGGGCCGGCGTGTGGTTTGCTGGATGATTGAATGTTTCTTCTTTTTTTCTTTCGGCGGCTGCTGGGGTTATGGATGTCATTTCTCTGGCTATGTATTGGCAGATGTGGAAGATTTCTACAGGAAGTGCGATCCAGGTGGGTAAGACATTTCCCTCTTCGCCGTCCTTGTTGTTCATCTTCTTCCGTTCTCGACCCACTTGTGTTGTCTTGCTCTCTATGGCGGTTTGTCCCTTCTTCCCCGCGTGTGCCACAGTAGTAGTAGTAGTAGTAGTAGTAGTAGTAGTAGTAGTAGTAGTAGTGGTCATCTTGTTTCTTTTTTAGTTCCGTACTTCTCTATTAAGTCACACACTACGGCTGCAAACGTCAGGCGTGAATGTAAAACAGGGAAAGAAACGACAACGCCTGTCTACCTTCTGTGAGGTGTCGGGGATTGAATATCTTCGTTAGTGATTTTTTTTACGATGTTTTTTTGTCGTGCTTGTGTAGTCATTAGTAAGCGGCGTTCCATCTTTCGTTTGTGTAATTTGGTGTATTATTGACTGTATTGCTGTTGATATTGGATTCGGCTTTCTCGTCCCCTTTACGTGCGTCTGTTGTCTGTTCCTACCCCCGTCGTTATTAATTACCTCCTTCGACGTTGTGCTTGATGCTGGTCGTGAGTTGTATTGCATTCAATCAAATAGCGCCACTGCAAAGGGAGTCGTATCATCTGGGACTCGTTGGTGTGGTTATTTTGTTCTCTCGCCGAAGGAAGTAAACTCTCTCGCCGAGGTTTTGGACAATTGCAGTGCTAGAATGAAAGAGGGGCTGAAAGGGGAAAGAAAACGGCAATCATTATCATTTTATTCTTTTGTATTTATTTATTATTATGATAATTAATTAATTAATATTTCTACTTATTACATTCCTCTTCATCTCGATCAGTCGAACCTCGTGAAACTTGGATCAGTACGTGATAAGCTCTCTTCTGGTCATTCACTGTACCGGGACGGAAGAAAATCATAACGCAAGTCACCTCCGTATCGGGATGCCAAAGCGTGCCAAGTACATTCCCCTAGCGACCCCTCTTTTTTGGTACTCGATTACTATTTTAGCATTTTCCGTTTTTTGTAACTCGCTCTGCTGTTGTTTTTTTCCCTGTTTTAAGATTTTATGGCGATGGTGAATACCATTGCAGGCGGTCGTCGTCAATCGCCTGCCTTTTCTTGGCACGACAGTCACTTCGCTCGTTCCTTTTTTTTTTGTGCTCGGTCTGTTTCCATCTGCTGCGGCGCAGCACGTCCGTTTGTTCGTCTTTCTTGCCGAGAAAAGAAACAATTCTTCTCTTTCCTGCCGTTGTGCTCTTTATACCCGTCTTTTGTTCATATAATGACTTCCTCGTTATGTGTTCTTGACACAGTCTGCCATTATTCGTCCATGTTCTTGCGAGATGTCTGCTCACAATGCTTTCTTGTTCTGTTCGTTTGCAAGTTCGCGGCGCTGTAGAACAGTTCGGCTTCATCGAAAGCAGCTAGTAGCAGGTTCCTTTTGTAGTGATTGGCTGCTTGCTGTGGTTGATTGCGTGATTAATTATGTGATAGATAGATTCTGGTCGATAACGTAATCAGAGTACCTTCGATTACTGGTTTAGTTCACTGCATCATGCGGTCTCAAGAATTTGTACTATTTCGGTCTAATATTCCTTGTGTGCGCATATTACAGTACTTGCTGTTCCTAATTTCCTTTGCGGTGCTTTCCTCCCGTTCTTCCGTCTGTGTATGTGTGTGTGAGAGAGAGAGAGAGAGAGAGAGAGAGAGAGAGAGAGAGAGAGAGAGATGGAGGGAACATCAATAAATTTAGCCTGGTGGCAATCTTTCGTCAAGCATCGTTTCTGATGTCACCTGGCATCCTCCCGGCTGAAAGACTTGAGGCGTGGCCGCTTGGATTTCGCCACAATATATCTATATCTATATGTATATATATGTATTTACACGTAGATATATGTATTTATATGTATATATGTATATTGTCTCCTCTTTGCCCTCTCTGCATACAGTTTACCGGGCAGCTTGTTTGACGTCATATATATCGTCAAACATGTATTTATGGGGCAAGAGCTGCCCGGTAAACCGTAGGCAGTGATAGAAAATATCTATTTATGATGCGTAGTTATTTGGGTAATGTACACACCCCGGAACTGCAGGTCTGCGGGTGTTCGTGTGAACTTTTGTCTCACCTTTTCGGCCATTTTTAGCAAATTTAAGCAATGTTCCGTCCGGCGTGCTCTTCTTGTTCGTCATTTTTTTTTCTTCTTTGCTATTTACCGGACTTGAGGGTGCGGAGGGAGGTTTGTCTTGCCTCTGGCTGATCTCTTCCAAAGCACCTCCTTTTTCTTGTCTTTCGCGTTGCGCATGATTGCAGTGGAGCAGCGAATGATACAGCAGATGAACATGTGGACAGAATCTAGTTCGGTGCATGAGCAAGTCACCATGATTCTCGTCTAAAGTGAGACAGGTTTAGGTGGAAGAAGAAGGTCAGGCAGGGCTGCCGTAGTAAGAATAGGAAAGACTTGTTACACGTGAAGTGGGTGCACCGAGTGATATCGACTAACGCGATAAAGCCTTTTGGCTATTGAACAGAATAGCGAACTTGTTTCTATTGAATTCGAAGTCACGTGCTATAGAATGTTTATTGGCTATATAGGACAAAATGACGCCGAGCACATAGTGCTGTTTTTATCGAAAGGCAGCGCATTGATGTGGTGTGGTTGTGTCCCTTTCACGTCCCGTTCGTTTGCACCTATCGGAAGTTGAGACAGTGACTCTCACGTCTATTCTCAAGTGTCTTCTTTTTTTTTTTTGTTTGAAACTGTGCTTAAGTCTTTGACACATCTGAAAAATGGATAAATTGACGAAATTGTGACAGTGTGGTTTGCAGCGTAATCGACAACACGTTTTGAGAGGCCAGTTAAGATTTTAATGAAGTAGTACCTTCGAATGCAGGCACGGATATTAAGTTCTTGTACTCAGAGCTTCGGGCATCATTATCGAGGAAAAAAACGTCGATTTCCCCCCGTCTTTTGTTCTCCTCTTTCATTGTTGCTTCTGGTTCATGTTTCTGGTGTTCGTTATGGACATTTGGTAATGTGACTGCACTATCGCACTATTAATATTTGAAAGATCGTTTCGGATGTCTCGCGTTCCATGGGGGGCCTCTCTTGCATGTTCCCGAGGCATTCCCCCCCCCCTACCCCCGCCCTTCCCCCCCGTTTGCGTGCACTGTTGGTGTTTTGTTAGATAGCTATGTGACGGTGTCTTGTGTTTGAATTTAGGGCGAGGGGGTTTCTCTCAATGTAGATCATTTCCGCCGCCGCTATGGCTGAGGCCTTGAGGATAGGCTACTGAAAACTGTAGGCAGTGACGGCTCCTCACGTTGGCACGTTATTTGAAGTTGCAGCCATTGGTTTCCTTCCTTAGTTCGGGTGCCACTGGAGTGCTCAGCATGGGTTTTTAATCAGAATATTAATCATAATAAATAAGTTAATGTTTGCATGATCACGACGAGCTAGTGGTGTGTGCTGCCTGCCTTTTGCGCCGTGTGTTCGGTCCGATAGATTTTGTTCTGTTGGGATTCAATCTATCGAGCGATGCTCCGTGTGCGCACGTCACCAGCCGGCCAAGAGAGTGCTGCTGTAGCGGTGGTAGAAAGGGTGGGAGAAGAGGAAAGAGAGGAGGAGGGGACATTTGTGGAGCTCTGCAGCCATTAGCTACAGCGCACGGTTCCTTGGAGATAGTAGAAATGGCCTCGCTATACTTTCACGGGATGTCGCCGCAGGTGAGAGAGTAAGGGCGCACTCACCTGAGGACTATTCTGCTAAGATCTGGACGTGATCACGGTCAGATTCATCCAGGTCCGGATACACTCAGGAAAGCTGTAGTGTGAGTATTGCCCTAAGTGATATTTGGAGTCCCTTTTTTCGAACACGTGACGTGCTTATCTGGCACAAGCAGGCAATTTTTTAACTCCTAACATAAACCTGGGCACACTACAGCCGACTCGATTCTCTCATTGGGAGATGATTCCTCACCGATGAACTGGAGGAAAATTTTATGGAAGACCCAGAGGGAGGTCGAAACACACACTGCTTTTTCTGGTTGAGGTTGTGAGTCCTCTGCCGATCGGCGTATTTTGGTCGATAATGGGACGTCGTGCTTCAGAATTTTTGAAATGCAAACATGAGGAATGCTTCCCCCCCCCCCCCAAAAAAAAAAAAAAAAAACACGAAAGAAAGTGGAATTGAAATGGATGTGGTGCGCGGATCAATGCCGTGGACAGCTATCAATGCAGGCAAGAAAGTGCGGGAGCTTGGAAGGCAAGATTGTAGGGAAGAGCTTGGTCTCTCATCTATTTACACAAAAAAGCATAAACGACAGTCAATGAACGAGAAGGTTTTTTGATTAAGGATATCGTGCGAAACAAGGAGAGGTCGTTATTATTATATAATGATTTGTGATTTGGATTGTGTCTCTGTTGTGATGCTTTAATTGAGCAGAGAAGGAGAATCTTTGTCTGTATGGATATCCCGATGCCACGTGGGAGGTCGATCTCCCGGCAGAAGAAGTTCCACCGGAGCTGCCAGAGCCCGCACTTGGCATCAATTTCGCTCGAGATGGAATGGAGAGAAAGGACTGGCTATCGCTAGTCGCTGTTCACAGCGACGCGTGGCTGCTCGCTGTGTCTTTTTATTACGGCGCCCGATTCGACAAGAATGAGAGGTGAGCTTTTTCATCACTCTCTCCCCAGCAGTAATTCTCATGCACTTGTTCTCATGAGGTGGGAGAAGATGGACAAAAGAGTGACAGCCGTTAACCAACTGCAGGTGGGCGGGAAAGTGAAAGTACACGTTGATGGCTGCTGGCTTGTGTGCGTATGAGAGAGGGCCGATGGGTAGTGAAGTACATAGCTATCACGGAGGCTCTTGGTTGTGCTTGGTTGATGCTTTGCCCCTTGTGCGTGCGTGATTTTTTGTTTGTTTCGTCGTTTGATTAGTTTGGAATGCTGTATGCACCAAGTGCTTGTTGGTCACCACTCTGCCGAATGGCTTGCGTTTGTGAAGTCTTTTGTGCGTGAAGGGTTTGTAACTTGATTGCTTGCTTGTCTGCGATGAGTTTGGTTTCTTTGTGCTAGTGGCGTTTTGGTTAAGTACGTGTTGTTTGCCGACGCTCTTGCTTGTTTAGGGAACTGATTATCGTATTTGTTCACTAAATCAACGCGCGATTGTTGTTGCCTCATGAACGGGGCTTGGTCGATCTAAACATTGCCTGTGCTTATAGCTGGATTGGGTCAGCACCTTGTCGATTGCCACGCCGTTGGAGAACAGGGTCAGTGGAGTGACGAGGTGGCCGCATATTTTGATTATAACTTGATAGATTCACGAGTCTCGATTGCTTTGGTTTTGATCAGTGGTCGATTAATTGACCTGTTTCTGAAATGCGGGAATGGGAAGAGGGTATGCTGAAATGACGGTAGTTGTTTGTTAGGCAGGTCAGACGTGATGGGAAACCAGGCAGAAAGGATGGTTTTCGTTCTGGGGGCAGAGAGAAAGGGGCAACGAAGGCGATAGAATGTTGATGATGGTGAAAAGCAAAACGAGTAGAAGGTGACAGGTTGTGATGCAGGAATCAGTCAATCGATCAATCAATCAATCAATCAATCAATCAATCAATCAATGAATCAAATCTGTGCACGAGAAGGCAGAGGTTTTAGTCGCGGGTGATAGATACGGCGTCAGGGTTTTTGTAGAGATGTCCTTTTTCCACTAGTTGGCGTCCAGGATCGGGAATCACAGCTTATCTCTTAGTTTTGAATTGATGGGATCGCGATGGAGGGAAGTTTCGTGCTTCCTCGTGATGGACTCCTGCCTTGGGATGACAGAGCGATGGCGAAACTAAGCAAGAAGAGAGGAGAGCCCGAGAGAATTGTACTCTTTTGGTGCAATAATGTGTACCAGGCGACCCTCGCTTTTTTTTGGTGGCGAGTTTGCTCTTGTTCCTCAGTGGACGGGGTCTGCGGTGTCTGTGCACCTGCTAGTAAGAACCCTTACCAGCGATTATTAATGTCATCGCCACCTTTGTGATTGCTGCCGCAGTTTGGTTGCGCTGCCTGTGTAGCTGCCAGTAAAACCCTTAGCGATGATTATCGCCCGCTGCACCTTTGTGATGCGGCTTGAGTTTCAAGCGAAGGGCTTTTCTAGTTTCGTTTTCCTGATTGTTCTGGTTTAGACCATCTGCACCCCCTGTCGAGCTAGCTAGATATGCAGAAGCATCTCAGCGTTGATGACCTCCCTGCAAAGATCGCGAAAAGATCTCTCGGATGGGTTGTTTTCGCCACTGTAGATGATATTTATGCAAGGGTTTTAGAACTAAGCCGCAATTGGCGCTCTGGGAGTCTTTAAGGCAAAATTGGGAGTAGCAAGACGCGCATAGGCAAGACGGTGAGGAACCGGGGACGATGATGTCGGTATGCAGATCTGCTGATGTCATCCCTAAGTGGATGTGAATTGAATGCTCTGGCTATGGGGAATTGAATGCTCTGGCTATGGGGAAGAATATATCTGGGCCCAGAACGTAAAGGCGGACCCGATGTATGTGGAACGAAACGTTATAGACCGTATTTGTCCTATCTCAGGGCAAAAGGCAACAGTAGGCAAGGGAGAACGAGTTTGATCGTCAGGGTTTTAGAGCCAGCCCTCAGCTGGTCCTCTTAAAATTCTCAAGACTACTTGAGAGGGATCGTGTGCACTTTCTCATTGCCGAAATCAGCAGCTGAGGACGGTGATGTCCACACCGACCTTGGTTCTGTCTGTTGCTCCTCACTAATGGAATGGCTAGCGTCTTCATCGGTGCAGAGATTAGGAACCGACTGTCGGTGATGATGATCCGGATTTGCATCTTCCAGCAATTTTGCTTCGGTCATTTGGAAGATCGCCATACAGAGAAAGGATTGGATTTGCCGATGCATCTGGCCTCATTAGTTTGCACGGGGGTTGCTGACGCACATGATTCGAAACTCCCATTTTGGGGCTCTTGGAATCGTTATGTATTCTTATGCGGGGAATATGGCCACTCACACCCTTATGTATGTGTCTACGCAGGAGTGTGAATGCCAAGGAAGGGACGGGGCAAATGAGTCGAGAGGAGGAGGGTTCAACGTTAGCAGAGGTTTTCGTTTGATAGGTTCTAACGTAACGGCGCGGCGTTACGTAAGGGACTAAGGGAGAGAGATGGAGTGAGAGTATTTATCGTTAAACCCTAGCTAGCAGACTTTTGGCCGGTGCTATTCTTGTTGACGACCTCGTTAGTCGTGTGTGTGTCTGTGTTTTCTGACTCAGCTACCTTCCTGTCGACTCCATCCTTTGTTCTACACCTATTTTTTGGCGTTCTTTATGCCCGATCAAGTTTGTTTCTACCTCACTCGTATTTATATTGCATCTTTCTGGGTTTTCTTTTGATCCTGCTCCTCCTGCTGACTCATCCCGTCCGTTTCTACCTCATTCTTGTCTATTGCTTCACTGTTCCAAACTCCCCCCCCCCCCCCCCCCCCCCCCCCCCCCCCCCCCCCCCCCCCCCTCTCCCCCCCTCCTCAATCGAGCTCCTCCCACCAATTCATCCTGATTATTTGTCTGTTTCTTTCTCAGTCGTGTCTATTGCTTCACTGGGTTTTCTTTTGTCCAGCTCATCCCAGCGATTCCTCCCCATCCTTCTGCTTCTCGTCTCCATGTTGGCCGGCTCTCCTCTTCCCCCTCCCCCTGCGTTTCTCAAGTCCTTCCCGTCGTTCTGCTATTAGCCTCCACGCCGACAACACGGGTGTGAGGGGTTTGGATTGGCAGTCTGCTAGGATTGTAGGGCTGTTGTGAATGAAGTTGACCACCCTTCTCGGGGGTATGTCTATCTCTTAGCTTCGGGGCGCATCCCTTGTCATCAGTCAAATGCATTCTGGGCAGACTGTCGAGGTTAAAACCTCCTGATGAGTCGGTGAAAGTCCGACGAAACAGTCTGGCACAGTCGTGCTTTGTTGTGGAGGTGCGTATAGTGAACATGGCAACACACGCAGGTGCTCTCACACCAAAGTAGTTTCGTCGTCTGATTGTTTCCTTAAGGTTTGGAACAGGGAGCTAGAGGGAGAAGTGATGTTGCTTCCTGTGCGAGAAGAGAGAGGGGAGTAAAGGGAGAAGAAATGGTGTTGTCTGCGAGGTTTTTGGGAGGGAACTAGTGGGGAACGGAATTCCTCGCACGATCTGACCGTCCGTCCGCCCCCATCTTGACCAGTATATATGCCAGATTGGACATGTTGCACATTTTGCGTCTTTGGAATCGAGGCTGCACGATTAGCATTTGTGGGAATTGTCCACGTGGTGGCACGTTTTGCAGGGTTGTATCCATAATATTGCACGGGCTGATCTGCGTCGTGCTTCGTGAAAGAACTTTGGTTTTGTTTAGCTTACGCCGGCGAACTGGATGATGCATTTTTGGGGTGGAGAGCTCCTAAGAGCATTGCGTGAGTCGAAGATTTGGAAGAGACTGTGGCATCAAAGTCTCTCCCCTATTTGCTTTCCGAGGCAGTCTACAAGAACTTCAGGATTTGTGGAAGTTTATGTATGGAGGGGTTGGCTATACTCTTACTAGCTGTGACCAGAGTGCGTGTCCGGACCGACCAATGATGATCTGGTCTACTTCTGCCCTTTCTTGTCTGGATATCAATTTTGTGTGGCAGAATTTGCCCTCTCACGGCGGCAGCAGTGCCAATCAATGCCGTATGTGTCTCAGGAATGATAGCCTTGGTCCTCCTGTCCACTCCCCATCCGGCAATTGACCAGGTGCAGCAGACTTGGCTGTGCAGAAAATGATAGATCAGGACGTACCAGATGAATACCAGCAGAGAATACGTTGAAGCCTTGTTGCACGTTTGTTGCACAATTATGTGCATCGTCGATGACTGGAATTTTTTTCTGAAAGCCATAAGAAAACTTTACCCTTGCATGGAGAGCAAAGGAGTCAACTTTATGCGTTGGAGCCCTCTTCTGTGAGTTTCAAGAATGGGAGAAGGGTAATGAAGATAATGGGCTGGAGAATGGTATCGAAATGCGGGTTTGCCGTCCGTTCTTCTCCGATCCCTTGCTTGTATCTGTGACGTTGTGTGTGTTTCATCGGAACGTGAATGGATGAATGGCTGGTCTTTTAAACCATCAGTTCTTGACCCAGCTATCGGCCATGGTAAAAAATAGAGTAGAAACGTTTTAGTCTGATGAATTTGGCCACTCCAGTAGTGGCCCGTACGTTTCATAAAATTGTGGCCCGTCAACGGGCACAACTTCAGCAAGTACCGGTGGTTTAAACCACAAGTACATGGCCCCAGCCTTGCGGTCGGAAACTTGTCGCCACAAGAAAACGAGACGAGGCCGAAACACCAAACTCTGAGCCCGCCATTGATAAATTCGATCGGCGGTCGCGATTCCTGCCTCCAGAATTCGAGGTGTCAGGCCTGAGGCGCAGGTGCACCATGTACTGGCTCTGTAAACCACCAGTAAACCCGAGGCTAAATGTACGAGCCTAACTTTGAATTTTACCGAACCTGAAAGTGACCGGTACCACTATTAGGAGATATGAGGGTGGTAGCTGCTGGCAACAGCTGGACCTGAAAGCAGGGGGTCGTTTTGCCACCCCAGCAAACTCTCCACAAAGGCAGCCCCTGTATCTGGCTGAGTATGGGCGCTGCCAGATACAGGCGGATTAAGAAAGCTATTAGTCTCGCTGCCCTACTCGTCAGATACTGAAAAGTTACAAGACATCGAAGAGGGAGAAGAAGAACAGTACTTGCTCTGGGACTCTTCCCCCTCCCCATCCACGTGATTCCCCCTTGGATATCTTTAGGAAAGCGCCCCTGTGAGTATGCCCTCATATCTAGCAGTAGTTTTTTTTTAATGATGGTTGTGTCTACGTGCCTGGCTTAGGTTCTAGTTCTCACACTAGAACTCCACCTACTTCTGAACGGAATCAGCATCAAGATACATCCAAGTAAGGCCCGCAACTACAGCAAGATACATTTAAAATTGTGCTATTGTATGTTCTTAGTTGGTGCAGCTCTTTTTCACAAAAAGGAATTGTGCTAGTGTATGTTTTTAGTTGGTGCAGCTCTTTTTCACAAAGAGGAAAAAAAAACTATGGCATCCTAGACCCCCTTACCTGCTGGCATTTGTATCTGCCGCTATTTCAGTACCAGACGCAGACGCTTCAACACCACGGCCAGCACCCGTCAGGAAAGGTAAGTATGTTTTTTTTTTTGTTTTTTTTTTTTGCTTCTGCTGTTGTGAGCGCTGCCAACGAGGCAGGGCTTGCCCTTCTAAAACTGCCCCGTACCTATCCACAAAACAGGCGCAGATTCAGGAAACAAACAAAAGAAAGTAGTAAACTCGTGGCTCATGTTGAAACAGCTCGTGCCCCATGTCGAAACAGCTCGTGCCCGTGGAAACAGTCGCCTGCCTCGTTTTTGGAGACCTGTCTGCCTCCAGAACGAGGCATTCTATCTTTGTTTTTTCTTTTGTCCCCGCATGTGTTTCCACATGTGCAGATGAACCAGCAGGAAGACTCGTAGTCCATCTTCCTTTTTTCAGCGGGCCCACGAGCTGTTTTTTCCGTCCCACTACCGGGCCTCCCCTGAGGCTCGAGATTTCCTTGTGACGACAAGTTCATTTTACTGCAGGGTTGGGGCCGTGTACTGGTGGGTTAACGTCAGACCTGAGTCTAGCGAATGTGGAGGCCTCTCTCGGTCTGATTGGGCCTCACGGGGTGAATTGACAGGAGATAGCTTGTTTGTCATGTGTGTGGTCTTGTAATCTCTGAAAGTCAGTCGGTCGTTCAATGTGAACCGGATGTCAGGGTTGTGCCCTCAGTGGTCGATAGTGTGAGCGGCTGTGTAGTTTATCGTCTCACATGGCAAAGAGACAACCACGACCAACTAGCAGAGGGCGTGATGTTTGTGCCTTTGCTGCTGGACTACCCTGGGATGAATTGCCACTGCCGATCTGGCGAACCCCCCATGATGGTGTCCAGGATTGCCAGTCCTCCTGCTTACGACCTTTGCCGTTAACATGTGTCAAACGTTTTGGCCTTTAGGCCAAAGTCGATGTGAATCAACAATACGTCTGTGCGCGCACGACTTCTCCATGGGCGGCTGTGCTCGACTGGAGCTTTCTTAGCTGGAATGTGCTGAGGTGGTCGGTGCTGCAGAAACGAGTGCACCGGCCTTCCATTTCTCTCCTGTGGTTTGGCCTTTAATATCACCTCAGCACGATGTGAGGTTCTTTGCAGCAAATTATTACCAGCTGTTTGGTTAGGCATCGAACTCCATTCAGAAAGCCTTGGGAAGAGCGTCACCTGCTGAGGTGTGGAGACTCGCGCATCCGATCACCAAATATTCAGCTGTTGGATTTTGGGGGTTGAATTCCATGTATGAAATGGGGGAGGGCCTCACCTTACGAGTCGTGAGATGCTGGCTTACATCACCACTACCTCCGATTCTCTTTCTGCTGAGGCAGAACGGCAAAAGCTTGGCAAGCAGAAGTGTCGGTGCGGCCCCCTTTCTTTTGTTTTGGCTGGAGCAGCCAGCCATTTTGGCCTGGTGGCGCCCGACGTCCGAAGAATGTGGTGTACATTATATTTTCAATTTAGATTTTGAAGGTAGTTGGAAGCGGGTGTTGTGCTCACTGAACGCCTGACCCTGGTGCTTCTTCTGTAGGATCTGCGCTGTGCAATGTTACATTTACACTTTGCCCTTTCCTCATGCTGGTGAGCCTTAAACCACCACACCACTACCTCTGTCACTCTTGGGAAAAATGGGAAAATTCAAAACTGGCTGTTTTCCCACTTTTCCCAAACTTTTCAGGGGCTGGACGAGGCTCGGCAGTTGGGCCTCGAGGGGCCCTTGGAAAAACAGAAAGAAAAACAAAAGATTATGTTGGGGAAGGCTGTGCACCAAGTTGTACTAGCACCAAAACTCACGCGCTCGTATCTAACCGCTATAGTGGCCAGTTTCAGGTTTTCGTTGTTTGTGTTTTTTGTTTTCGTTTTTTTTTGTCTTGGTGCCCTGCCGTGGAGGCACGGCGCAGTCCACGGGATGCTGACACTTTGTGGAGGAGGGCATGCCCACACTATTACTTTGCAGAATGTATGAACCCGCTTTCCCGCCCTAAGTTCAGCTGCAATTTTATATTTTTTCCCTCTTCCTTCTTTCGTGGACCTGACACCCTTTGCCGTAACGGCCTCACTGAGGGCACACGCACGCAACGACTTTGGGCTAGGTATCTACCAGTTATCACGTCCAAAGGGGTGTTTGTTTGTTTTTTATAAGTTTTTTTTGGCTGCAAGTGGGTCGTTTTAGAAAGTCTGGCGGTGCTTTTTTTTTTTTTTTTTCAGGAGAGTACCAGAAAAGGAACAAAACGGAACCCAGGCTCGGCAAAACTCAGTGCGCAGTGAAAATCAGGGTCGGTATAAACAGGCTTGGAGGTAGTGGGTGGTTTTACGAGTGACCATGACCTTTGACATTGCGTAGCAGCTGCTGAACCTTAGAAAACGTGGGAAAAAGTGGAAATGAAATAGTTGATTTAGATGGAACGTAGAAACATCTTGTATGTGTGGGGGAGGTGGTGGCAGTGTTGCAATTTCCTGGCTTCAATGTGAAAAGAGAATCGTGGGAGAAAATTGCCTGCTGCTAGCCATTTCTCTAATCTCCATGCTAAACAGATGCCTTTGTCATTGAAGTGACAGGCATGTGCAGGCAGGCAGGCACGCACATACACACTGACACACACACACACACACACACACACACACACACACACACACACACACACACACACACACACAGAGATCCTTGTGCCTTTATGGACTTGGCTCAAACCTTGATGTACGTGTAGTGGATCTCTGCCACTGAAATGGGATCCTTTTTGCTAGAGTCAAGTGTGGTATCTGTTCTGACTAGTTCAAGATTTGATCCAAAAAGGAAAAGCCGTGCCTTTTTGCAGAAGAGTGCAGGCCACTTTGAGCTTAACTGCTTGTATGTCGGGAATCATGCATCCACCTCTTTGTTTGTAGCTATTTGCTGTTTATGCCTGTTGCTGCCTGTCCTTCCTGTCTGTTTCTCTTTTGCTTTTCTGTCTACGTCTCTTGCTCTTTTGTTTTTTCTCATGTGCTTCCTGTACATATTGATTTTGCAGTCGAGCGATTACTTGATATCACTGCGACCAGATGCAGATTCTTAATGCATTTGTTAATTCATCTGTATGAGAGTCTGCATTGACTTTGGGTGCACGTAGAGTAGTAGTGAAGAGTATGGTAGGTGTCTCGGCAAAGTGCTCAGTCTCCAAGGTCTGATCAAACAGCCTTTCACGAACATGAGGTTTTTCTCTTTTCTTCCTTTATGGCAACAATCGATCACTGAGTTGTTTGCGTGGGCATATATTCATAGGAACTCCAATGTGCAAAAGAGCACAGGCCAGAGCGAGTGAGAAAGAGAGAGAGGGAGAGGATAAGTAGGTCGATGAGGATTAGTTTGCACTGTCTCTATGCTGGAGTTGAGTGCAGCTTTGGTCCAACCTTCCATCCTCGGTTTAAAAGGAGGGTGGAAAACGAAAGTGAGACTGGAGCGAATAGTCTAAAATAAGTGCGGAACTGAAATGTGAAAGAGAATATCAAAGGAAGTGTGTCCGAGGAAGGGATTAATTTTTTGCATGGTCGTTATTTTGCTGTATCAATGATCCTGTCAAGGTGGGACTTCTGATTTCCGTACGAATGATTTTGCATGAGAAAGGATCTGATTCTTTCTTGTGGGCGAAAAATTGCGCCTCCCAGGTCATGAGTATTGTCTGTGCATTTGAGTGAGCTCTTAATCCTGCCATGCCGGTGAAATCGAATGAGAGAATAGTTAACTCGTAGGTGCAATAGACGAATCCGAATGTAGGACAATCGTTCACAAGCCATGTTACCACTAAGGGTATGGAGTGGTTAAAAAGAGAGGATGGTCCGATTTACGTAGTGGTGTTTAGAATGTTGGATCAGTGTGCGGTTTCTATGGGTTGGAAGGAAGGAGTGCTGCTTATGGTCATTGATTAACTCGTTCGGCCTGTGCGGTGCTGATTGGTTTCTTGTGCAGAAAACGTCTCTTTCATTTGATCAATGATCTTCCAACCGTTTTTGACATGGTAACCGGGAAAAAACAAGTGAAGGAGATGAAACCCATTAACAGTAGTGCTAACAGCAAGAAGACCACGGGAAATAAGGTAAGACGGAGCACTAGAAAATTCTACATAATCCCGCTTCTTGAGATGCGTTGAACGTTCTTATTGTTCAGATCGGGCAAAAAAATTAGTGAAGTATGAAAATGTAAAGCTATGTAGGGAGGGACAACTTTTGATCGTGTGGTGAATTTGGCAGCCCTCGTGGTTTGACAAGGAATGGGTTGTTACGGAAATTTGATTGTGTTATGCAATGTGTGAGGATGCTTATGAAATTGAAGTCTGGGCTATGGAAACTCGATTGTGTGTTATGAAGTGTGTGAAAAAGGTTATGAAATGGCCCTCAAGAGTGCACACCTGTTCTGACTGGAGGCTCACACATCACCTCGATCATTCACCTAGGAGCCTGTCTTTTCTCCGTCGGGCGATCCTGAAATCCAGCCAAGTGCAAACTTGGGGTCCTTGTTTGGTTGTCCCCAGATCTTGGATCCGCTGCCTGTAGACAGTCTGTACGCTTTCTCCACTGCGAACCGTCTATGTCCGAGTTGATTACTGCCGGAAAATGCAGAAGCATGTGCAGTGATTGCCTCAAACCACCACTACATTACCCGTACATTGGCCGTGAGGACTGTCTTTGCAAGTTCCAGAGGCGGAAACGAAATGGCGGCCGCCGATGAAATTTATCAATGGCCTTGGCTGTTGGGCCCGTTCCCTGAAGAATGCGGTACAGGTTACATCGATGCTCGTTGACTTACATTGTACGAAAGAAGAGGATGCTGGGATGTGAAGTGAAATTATCGCAGACAGCGGACGCGCTGCAGCGATGCTGCGGCGGAGGAGGGGTGCGGGGAGAAGGAGAGGGAATGTAGGGGGAAAGACTGTGCGCTCACCGCACCTCTCTCTCGCGCTTTTTTTTGGCCGTTATGTTCTTCTCCTACTTCCCTCTTTTCTCCTCGCCTTCCTCCTCCTGTCTCCTTCACTCTCTCGTCGTCTTCCTCCTCCTCCTGATAGACAGACAGACAAATAGGCGGAGATAGAGGAAGAGAAGAGCGAAGCGCAACTTGGATGCATTCATTGTCTTTTTCTTTATTTTTTCGTTTTGGAGCATTTTTTGGGTCTATTCGTTGATCCCCATCCCAATCGTGTTTTGTATATTTATGTTTTGGAGCATTTTTTTGTTTTGAAGATTTATGTTGTGTTTATCTTCATACCCTGCCCCGATGGCATTTCCTCTGTCCCGGCCTCGATCTTATCCCGATCCCTGATCTCTCACCTCTTTCTCGTCCTGCTTTCTCTGATCCTGACCTCCCTCTATCTCAATCCTGCTCCCCGGTCTGGCACTTTTTTCTCCTCCCGCCTTCTGTGATCCTGGCCTCCCGCTTTCTCCGATGCCGACCTCTCTCTATCTCGATCCTGCTCCCCAGTCGGGCACCGCGTTCTCTTACTGCCTTTCCGGATCCCGACCTCCCTGCATCCCGGTCCCGCTTCTTGCTTGTCTGGATGTCTACTCCAATGCAGCTTCCTTATCACCCCAGCCTCGATCCTCCAGCCTTCCCTGATCCTGATCTCCCTCTATCCCGGTCCTGCTCCCCGGTCTGCCACCTCTTTCTCCTCCCGCCTTCCCCGATCCCGACCTCCCTCTATCCTGATCCCACTTCTCCCTCGTTTGGATGGGTGTAGTTCTCGCATCCCTCCTCTACTGAGCCCTCTGAAGAGCAGATCCGGCAAGCAGGGAGGAGCGTAGATGGAGAAAGAGAAGGGACATAAATCAAGAGAGAGGGAAACATACCTGCGTCTGCCGTGTTGATGATGTCCGAACCCTGCCTTCTGAAGAGCAGATCTGGCAACTACCGATCAGCCGCTGATTGGTCGCTGAGTATTAGTGACTCCGTGCAGAACTCAGCAATCCGAGATCTAAGTAGTCTCAACGCCTTGAGATGTCAGCAATCACCCTGCCATTTACTAATCACTCGCTGCTCATTCATTGAGCAATCACCAATCACTCGACATCTGCCTCACTTGCCCTGTGCGGACCCTGCCTCACTGACCAACCAACAATTGCCTGAAATCTTCTGGGGCGCATCGCAGGATGGCGGAACTCAACAGTGAGAGCCCAACCGATATAGAGAAGAGCTGCCTGACGAACACGATGACAGTCCTCAGTCGTTTCCTCTCTTCCCCTCTTTTCCTTTTCCTCGTCGTCGGTTAGTGTTCTTCCTTTTCCTCCAGCTATCGCAACTTTGCGCAGAGGACCAAACATCGTCCGCTCACCGGCGAGGCAGCCTGATCTGCCACCACCGTGATGTAAAAGACATCCGGGATGCCAATGACGACCGTCCTCTTCCTCCCTGTCTTCCCCCTCGTTCTTATTCCGTGTCCTCCTTCCTCATTGTCATCTGGTGCTTCGTTGTCCGCAAAGCATTGAACGCTCGCTTGTGCATGTGACCACGGCAGCCGTTGTGTTTGCCACATGCTTGGGACGTTATTAGATAGTGCTCCATGTACACACAGGAGAGAGAGAGAGAGAGAGCACTCAGCGGTTGCGGGCGCCGTGGCCACACGCACGTGCTGTGAGATCCCCTTGTCCGCTCAAGCCCGCCTGTCGATCCAATGCAAGACAGGACTTCCGCCCCACTGACTCCGTCCCATCTCGCCTCGCACTTTCCTGTTGCTGGAACGGGAATGCCGGATCCCTGCTTCTCCGTTTCCACTTTCTGCATGGCCGGTCTGGACCGTGCCCCCGACCCTTTTTTCCCCCGCCCCTGCCTCTTTTTTGCCTGTCCCTGGGCCTGCTGTTTTCCCCTTAACGTTGCTTTTCCCAACACTGAAAGCGGCATCTCACATGGGACTGCTCATGCGAGACCTGCTATTTCCTTTAGGAGTATTGGGGAAATGGTACTGTACCAGGAACATGTGTTCTGGTCTATTAGTCCTGACTGGGATAATGTCAAAGATCGTGGCTCTGCTCGGTACTGGAAGCAATCTGAATGATCATGTTTGGGTGCTGCCGGGTTCTCAAAACTGGACCTTCTATTTGTCCCTTGGTGTTGCTGTTGGCTGTGGATCTGCTGGTTGTGGTATCGATATAGCAGAAGTTAAAAACACGCCATTGCTGTCTCTATCTTTGTACGACCTCCTAGTTCCAGTGCCACTGTGCCTTGTATTTGTCCACACGAGATTATAGGAATGATCTTTCCCCAATAACGTGTCTCCTCAAACATCTGGCAATTCTATTACAATCTTTCCTTGAAAATAAGCATTTCCTCAAACACTTGGCGATGCTACTGGGTCCTCAGAAGCTATACCCTGTTTTCCGAAATTGGGGTAGCAAAGTGGAAAGACTCGGCAATGCTATTGGACCCTTAAAAGGTATACCCCGTTTTCCGAATATAAGGCACCTCTGAATAAGAGGCATGGTACCTGATATTCGAATGCCATGTTGACACCATCTAAAACACCAGCGTGTCAGAGCCTCTTTTGCTGATGCGGATTTCTTCTGCATGCCAATCAAACACAGCCTGACGAAGGCATGTTTTTTCCTTTTTCCCCTGGTGCCGCCTGCCGTTTTGGTCTTGTAGGTCTAGCTCTGTATGATGCGGGTCGTTTAGTCACGTGTCCCCCAATCAATATCAATAGATGGGTAATCAACTCCCGTACGGTCAGTATCCGCCGATTTGGACCTTTCATTAATGACCTTGTTGGAACGAAATGACTTGAAGGTGCATCAATTATTTTGAGGACAAGAAATGGTAGTGGAGAAAAAGAAGCTTGTGCTTCAGACGAACTCGGTGCTGGAAAATTATTTAATGTGTTTGTACAGTCGTTCCTCTGCTACGGGTGAGCGAGAGCCCGCTTTGGTTTTTGCCACACTGTCACAGGCACCCTTGAGGGAAGTGGTTGGTGCTCACCTCAGAGAGCTGGTCCCCGAATGCAACTCGGGTTAAAACCACCAGTGCCTTTCCCCACTTGAAAACCAAATATGCGGCTGGCCACATATTTTGGGGCTTTGGGTACGGGACTGATATGTCCGCGGCGGCAGCTAAAAGCAGGCCCATTGGTGGTTTAATGTGGATTCTGCGGACTGAAGAGGTTTCAGCCTGCTGATAACGTGATGAACTTGTGGAGACAGTAGTATGACATATTCTGCGTTTCATCCTTCTCTTCCTTTTGGCCTACAATTCGCCTGGCAGTTCTTTTTAACTATATATGCACATACACATACCACAATAGAGGACTGCCCTGTGAACCGTAGGCAGAGACGGAGAAGAGGATAACAAACGAGGGGCTGTGTCAGACTGTTAAACAACAGGTCCTCCTGACGTCAGAGAACGTCAGGGGTACCGGTGGCGCCGTTTCACGATGGGTACCGGTAGTACAGTGTGGAAAACCGGGCGGGACTCGAAAATGAAATTTGCGGAAAAAAAATTGAAATAAACCGAAACGGCGCGGCGAATATTTCATGGTGGAAATGATTTTTTTTTTCTGATATTTGTCTCTGAAAGATCACGACCTAATCTACGGACCCTCAAATTCTCAGATATTTTGGTGATTTTTTCTGAGCACAAAAAATCGGCAAAGTTGCTGCTTGCAAAATGGCGGGATTGGACCCGTCGGCCCCTCCGTACAACCCGGCGCCTTCGTACGGTCGCTGCCCCTCCGTACAACCTGGCCCTAACTCACAGGGAGTAGGGGGTTTCGGCGCCGGGGGGACCGGTTGTTGTTGGAGTTTCACAGAATTATCAGGAGGCTGAATCCTCTACAGTCTGCAGAGTACCCCAACAGATGATATAGTCATTGATAACCCACCTCAACCCTGGTTGCGGGCAAGCATATCTATCTATCTATCTATTTATCTATCTATCTATTTATATTTGGGTGTAGACACATATATATGATATATCTATGTTTGTGACGATATATGTCCATGCCTATTTATATCTGGAAGTTAGAGCCTGAACTTGTCGTCTATTTACCTTACCTAAGGCATGGTACATTGAGGTATAACTGCAGTGAATAGAAGGTATACCGTACCTTGAGGTATGTACCTTGTTCTCGGTGGAGGACTGTAGTCCTGAATCGGTTGGTTCATGGTAATTGTATGCAGAATTATCTTCCAGCTTCACCTGGTCAACGGACGTCTTTCTTGTCGTGTGTTTTTTGAAGCCTTCTGTGGCTATGTCATGATGTCTTAAAGTAACCATGGATGAGTCTTAAAGTAACCATGGGTGTAACCGTGGGTGAGTCTTAAAGTAACCATGGGTGAGTCTTAAAGTAACCATGGGTGAAATGTGTGTCATGTGATGTGTTTGCCGCTCTTCTGCAGAATGCGACATCATCGCAGAAGATCTCTGGAAAGGTGGTACGCACTAGCGAGCTTGCCTTATACACACCTTCATTATGTGTTGTCTGACGGTGCGGGTGGTAATCTGGATGGTCTTGGCATTTGGCGGCTTCTGGGCATTGATGTAGAGAAAACAGCGTTGAATGAAGATGGAACATACATCCGGCGTATCACGTCCGCGCGTAAGTTCTGCACGTGCACCGCATAGCGCATGCGCACACGTGCAGGCGCACGTGATGTGACACGTTTACAGAATAATAAAAAAGAAATAAAAAAGGGAAGAGCGTGGTAACCGTAAATGTCCTTCCCTTTTGAAAATTAGAAGTGCACAGGAAAATAATATATTTTGGGGCCCACTTCGTACTACTCATGGGATATATTCTCCTTTTGAAAAAGTCCTCTGAAAAGAATCTGCAGGGTTCGCGTGCTTTTGGAAGGCTGTCCATTGAACTGCCTGCTGGGCAGCCCTTGAGCAGGCCAGCACAATATATCCTGGATTCGGATTCAGGTCTGTGTTCCAAGAGTTATGGGTTACAAACTCACTACAAAAGCTACAGTAGCTGTCTTTTTTTTTTTTTTCCTCTCTCTTTTCTTACGTGCAGTGGCCCTAATGACCTTCCTCCACTCATCAGCATTCGCAGAAAAGGAAAAGGTATGGCTTGTATGGTTTCTACGAGAAGATTCATTCTGGTTTTGCACATTTGGTGAGTAGTGGAGTGAAGCCCTGAAAATCACATGCCAAGTTAGTACGTTGGTAACCCATAACTGCTGAAACACGGACCTGAATTCGAAGCTGCACCATATATAGCTGGCCTGCTCCCTGCCTCTAAGTCCAGTGACTACCCGTCCAGTGACCACCCTTCTCCTGCCGACGGGACGCTTGCCAACTCTCTCTCTCTCTCTCTCTCTCTCTCCAGTGTGTATACACACATCACGGTTGCTTTTTTTTCTTTTTCTTTTCTTTTTTTCTCTTTTCGTGCATCAGCGCACTGCGCAGCGCACTTCGTCTACGCGCCTTAAGTATGAGATGGAAATGTTATGAATGAAGAACGAAAATGTTACAAATGAAGAAAAAATGTCACATTGGAGAGACTCTACAAATGAAGGGAAAACGTCACATGGGAGAGACTCTATGCCCTTGCCCCAGATGTCCTTATGATTGGGTGACCCAATGAATGCCTACATTTTGCTCAACCACCATTGGTGCCACAATTTTTTTATTATTTTTTTTGGACTGCATCAACAGCCGTTGTGTTCTGGTAACCCCAAGCCTCTCAAAATTTCGGAGTGGGCCATTCATTTTCTTGAATTGCCTGACGGTTTGTGCTTGGGGGGGTTAACGTGCGGACAGCTGTAAGAAAGAGAAGTTTTTGTTGCAGGTATGGCAGCATAGCTCATGAGGTGTTCGCTACACTAGGTTGTGTGTCGTGTCTGAAGAGTAGTCCTTCATTGTCTGCCAGTGCATTGACAGCATGCAGTGTTGGCACGGCCAGTTCATGTACCTGGTCTTCAGATGAACACGGCCGTGCGATCGTTTTTCACGGATCTTGTTGTCATTCGTAGACCCTGTGTAACCTGTTCGGTTTACTTTTTATCGTGGTGACCGTTAGACATTCTGGGGCACGAGGATTGAGATCCGATGCTGGAGATTGGGCCCGCACCTGTTATCTGCATCTCCTCAAGAATGCCAGAGGGGACCTCTTCCCATGGTCCATGCTGCCGGATCGTTGCTAGTGCTGGAATTGCATTTTGACCGTGTTGTGTGTATTTGATGATGAACTAGATGGCATGTTCATGAAGCCAGCTGTCGGAGCTGAAGTTTGCCGTTGTGTAGTCGCACCTTTATTGTGTAAACGGTGCTTCAGATTTGGTCGTTATTGAGGGAAGCAAAACTTGAACAATCTTGCAGCTATTTCAGACAAATGCACACCTACTAACCGTTCTGCAGCATCATGGCATTTTCTTGTGAAGAGACGGCATGTGGCTAAAACAATTGGATATAACCAAGTAGACGTGAATCAGAGAATATTTGTTAATCGTAAACTATAATGCATAATTGTATGTCTTCGTGCACTGACTACCACTCCAATGTAGAGCAGGAGATAGTAATCACTAGCTCCACATCTCATCCTTCATGGAGATCTTGGCATTTGCCTCAGGCGCTTCTTCTTCCCTAAAGCTCAATGTAAACTACATGGTGGTGCAAGTACGTAATGCTCTGCGCGTGCTGATGATAGTTTCTGTGGTGAATGTTTGAACTGCAGAGAGCTGCGCATGTAGAAACAAAGCCGCCAAAGCAACAGAAGGAAGAGGAGCCAGACGAGGATGACGATGACGCAGGAGAAACGGTTTGTGGCATCTGCGCAGGGCCGTATGGCGCAAACGAGTTCTGGATTGGATGTGATGTGTGTGAAAAGTGGTTCCATGGGAAGTGTGTAAAAATCACTCCTGCAAGGGCAGAACATATCAAGCAGTACAAATGTCCAACGTGCAGCAAGAGGGCACGCACGTGAGTTTCAAGTGTCGACTGCGACTGGATATATGCTGAATGAATTAATGCGGCCTTCTGCTGGACTGAGAAGGTCTGTATGTTTGTGTGTGTGGACTGTTTCAGGGACGTGTTTGTGTCTTTTGTATCAAGAGAACTGGTAGTAGAGGAGCAGAAATGGGGATGGGTAAATGGAGAGAGAGAGAGAGAGAGAGAGAGAGAGAGAGGGAGAGAGAGGGAGTAATTTTGATGAGGCTAGAAAGAAAGGAGATTGAAAGAGAAAATAGTGAGGGAGCATTCTACTTGATGGAAAGATGACTAGGCTTGGCCATGCTATTAGGAGGGTCGGCGGGATCTGGTGTGCATAATCTATATAAGGTCGAAGTATGGTGGAGTCTGTGATGTCTGAGGTTACGCCAGAAATTGGTTTGCCAGAGGAGTGCTCTGTCTTGTGGTCCCCACATCAGCTTGGCTCGATTTTGGTTCTGACTGAAACACAGTACAGGCTTTTGATTAGTGTGGCACGTAGAGCATGTGGACTGAGATGAATGAGAATAGTAATCGTGGCCTGCAGAAACGCAGGAAGCATCTGTTCGAGTGACGGACGTGGAGGCGGAGGCGGAGGCGGGAAAGGGAGGGAAGGAACTTTGAGACAGGGGGACGAAGGGTAGATACATAGAGAGCGAACGAGCGAGCGAGAGAGAGAGAGAGAGAGTGGATGGCTTTCCACTCTTCTGGATGCAGTCAGGCTCTATTGTTCCAACTGAATTCTCTATATCCTGATGATTCATATGGAATCAGACGGTTACACACAAGGCTTGCTGATGGAAAGAATTCCTCTATCGGGCTTTTTGGCAGGAAGGATGAGATTTTGGTACCGGTGAGAGACCCGTTACAGTGGAGTTGATGTTTGTTTGAGGATAAATGAGGAACAAGTTCGTGTTGCCATTTGCCAGTGTCTGGCGTGCGATGATAGATAAATGGTATCTGCGGTGGCACGAGGGGGTACATACTAGAAAGTATGCTCCTCCCATAAATACCTATGTTGGAACATATCAATGGTGATTACTTCAACAGCTGTGTGGACCGAAGGGGCCGGCTATATCTGTTTTAGGATCTCACACTAATCCTCGTCTTGTACGACCAAGCCATCGGCTGGGTTCAGGGGCAAAGATGGAACACAGGTGGGAGGAGGGAAAGGGGGCACAGCAGACTGACATCAGACTCAGACGGTTCGTTTAGACACAGCAAGGAGTACAGGAGGGGGTGGCCATAAGTTGAGGTTGTTTTTCAAGCTGGAGCGATGTCTGGTGAGGGCGGACGGTCTCTTGTCTCTCCTCCTCTTTCGAACGGTGTATAGGGCGGGCTATGTTTCGTGGCGACCCACATCTGCGATTGGCGGTAGTGGATTGCTGTTCTTTTCCTCTGTCCGTTTTGTGTTTGCACTTAATCTGCTCTCAATTGTGCAATTTTTCATCTCTGATCTATACTGTGGTTGTGGTATGGGTTTCGGATTTTAAGCGCGATCCATTGCCTTTAGGTTCTTTGCTTCTTTCAGGTTTCAATTGCTTTGTGCTTGTGCTGGAGCGGAGGAAGGTAATCTATATCGTGTGTAGAACAAAACCCAGGTTAGTGAACAGCTCTCACCTGACCGAAATGGGGGGTGGGTGGGGGGCATGGAGAGAGAAGAGGGTGGGTGTTGTCTTTCTGAGAGTTGCATCCTCATCCTCTGGGCATGCAGGCACTTCACAACAGGTTGGGCCTCTGAGAGTTCAGCAGTTATTCTTCAAAGGATTGGAATCATGCTCCGTTGTGGAAGCACTGACCTTCATTTTTTGGAGAGCTGCGTCGTCCTTCCCATGGATTTGCACAACAATGCACACACTCTACAACAGGGCCTTCTTTAGCTATAATGTTTTTGAGTCCTGTGATCGTGCTCCATGTATATGTGTTAACTTGCTGTTGGTCCCTCCGCCCTCTGCACCCTTGCTTTTGTCGCTTTAAGACCGCCGCAAAATATGGGTGAGTAATCTGCCTTCATGCCCAATACACCAGGAACTCTACTCTACGGTTTTTACCGTGATGAAAAAAAAAAAAAAAAAGGGTCTTACCGTGATGAATGTGCTCTCGATATGGTGGATTGGCAGTTGCACCCTTTTGAAATGTGTCACAACTCACCGTTAGCCCGGACTCACCTTGTGTCACGACTCACTGTGTGTCCATACTACTTAGCGTGTGCGTCCTCTACCCTTTTGAAATGTGCCATCGCTGGCTCGTCAGTTGATTTCTTGTCAGTGTGAAGGGTTAGGCAAAACATGTACGTACTGACTGTTTGTCATCAAGGTATGTCTGAGGAAAGGGCGCTCGTTAGGACAGGATGGGATGTGGTGGTTAAGGCCCACTTGCAAAAGGGTTTTCAGATCGCGTTCTAAGCATAGTGAGCTGTTGTATCTTACATGCCTGAAGCTATTTCATGACCCGCATGAGTGGTTTTAAACTGAAGTGGATGCGCCTAGCGCTCCACATGCACAAAAGAGGAAAAAATGGCGAGGATGCATCTTTCCATGTTCTCAATTTGCACATTTGGGGAGTAGTGGAGGGAGGCCTCATCTTGCATGTTACGGGCGGCACACAGACTCGTTGTTTACCAGTTACCGCGAAACGAAACCGAAATCATTTAAAAAAAGAGAGCCTGACGGATCGTGTTGGCTCGAGGGCTCCTGGCAATGCTTGGAAATAGTGAAACATAAAGCAAGTCAGAAAGTCAAGAAATCCAGTTGACTTCTTTTTTTTAAAAAGGGAATGTCCATTTTTTTGTTTCATTCACGCCCATCATAAAAAATGCTAATTGAGGCAATCTAGAACTGGAGAGTAAACCACAAGCGCGTTTCCCAGCCATTTTGCAGAAACATGGCGGCAGAGCAGATCTCTGGCTACGGCCACCATGAGCGCCATGGTTGTATTTATGTACACACGTTTTGCCTAGATGGATTTCTCGTGAAACGGCACCCCAGCATTTCCCCCCCGAGGTGCCTGCATGCATGAGGCGTGTGGGCCGGTATATACCGAGGTGATGGTCCAGCTGAAATCCCTCGAGGCAAAATGTTTGTGTAGATGAGCGGTTTGATCGTAGCGCCTGTGGTGGCAGTCAAAGATCATCTTGGACAAGTGGTCGCAATGCAGCGAGGATATGTACATTGCCTAAGGTCTGCATGCACCATACACAAGGTGCAGCTACCAGTGCAGCTGCCGGTGCAGCGTTTGCGCAACTAGCAGAATGAACAAGTGTGGCTGATCAGCTTCCGTTGCCTGCCGGCGTCTCCACTGCTACTTGAGTTCAGTCCTACTGCTTTCCTGCTCCAAATGACGATGCTGCACCCTATGACCGTCGATGGACCTTGGGCTCCCGATGATCCGTCTCCAGAGTTCGTCTCGCTTACAATGATAGCAGAGTTGGCGAGCAGGATAGCTATTGTGCGCGCTATGCAGGAAAGCTATTGGCAAAGGTGATGATTGTGTTATCAGGGTCGGTCAGGGGCAGAAGTGCCTGATGGAGACTGTAGAGTCCACTGGAACGGACCTCGCTGTGTTATATGCAATCTCTGGAGCCAAATTAGCTCATTGTCGCATAGGAAAGCTATTGTGCGTGCTATGCCCGTGAATGCGTCTCCCTGCTGCTTACAATTGGAACCCCTCCAGCGTTTCCAAGTTCAGGGAAACTAGTCGCTGTTTAAAACTGAGCAGTGTGGAGGACTGCAGATGGTGTGGATATGCCATGTACGCCAGTTCTGGGAAGAAACTGCAAGGCGATCCTGCTCTGCGGAATTCAATGCCTGCCATGGACGCAAGTATACCTGCGTGCATCCTGCATCTCGCCTGGGCCATTTCGATGTTATTACCTATGCGGAGAATTCTCCCACCCTGTGTGATAGTCGGGCAACATCGTCTGAGTCGGCACCCTCATGGCATAGCACCCCTTACTATGACCAGTATCTGATCTGACACTTCAATGGGGAACATTGTCTGCACAATATTTACCCTTGACGATGACCAATATCAGACTTGATCTGGCTCATCAATCGGGAATAATGTCTACGTTTAGTCGTGAGCTCTGCAGCTCGAGAAGAAGAAGAATACGGGTGGCGTGGATATGTTGGGAAGCGAGTAGGCATCCTCATGGCATAGCGTGCGTTATGGTGGCCTCCCAAGCCCATCTAGACCGACGTGTTCGGGCACTAATGGTGAAGGGGTCCGTTCAGAGGACTGCTGTTGTGCCATCCCATCGTGTTTGCATATAGAGACTGTGGCCCTTGTGGAGAACACATGGTACGGCCTCTAAGAAAATATATAAGAGGGGACTGGAGGAAAAGTAGCTACAGGCAGACGAAAGGAAACAGCTCAGGAAAATGCTTCCTATATGGCAGCCTTAGAATGGGTGAGGCCGCTGAAGTCGTGGTGAAACCCTCTGCTGCCCCCCCAGGGGGGTGTTCCTAACTGACCAAAAACAATTGAGTTGAACAACGGGATAAAAGAAGCAGCCCCCGTTCCCCATTTCCCCTCGTTATGTCTGTTCAGTGAATCCCCTTGAACTCCGGGTACTCTATGCCAGCATCGACTGCCCGGAGTTCCAGGGGCCCTGGAACTCCGGGTACTCGATCCTGGCCCCTGCAGTCCAAATGCCCATTTTCACCTTCCGCGGACAAATCTCAGAAAACTGTTTTTGTTTTTGGCGGGGGGGGGCGGTTGGGTATTAAACTGATCAGAATCGATACTACACATGATCTCTGAAAACTGGACTCTGGACCCGGTTTCCAGCAGGTGACGCTCCCCACCAATAGCATGGGGGTTCGAGACGGCGTCGAGGGGAAAGGACAGGAGGGAAGCTCCTTCCGGTATGACAATCGACGGAAAAGGAAACAATAGAAAAGGGAAGGAATGGCAAGAGATGAAATGACGGGGAAATAGAGTTTTCCGTTCCCCAGGGCACCTTTTTGGCGCGGAGCTTGGGGCGGCCGAACCTCGGAGATCTCATACCTCAGTGTCAGACTTGTCGAGCCCATGCGAACATCCTGGTGCGGGGTCGTCGAGGGTGGGGTAAACCAAAGGAACCCGAGTTTGAAAATTAGCCGGCAGCGCGCTCGCGTTGTGGGAGAGTTCTCGGAATCGAGCCGCACCCACGTATCCCAGGACTAATCGCAGCCAGGAACATGAATCCCTCTGGCGACACCAGCAGTAGTTAAACTAGGCCGCCACGTCGTGTGAGCTGCTGAGCAACACCGTGAGATCAGTGTAGGGTACTATCAGGGGAGGGGAAGAGAACTGGTCAGTTAACGCAAAGCACACCAAACACACTCCCTCCGATACGGCAAGCTCTCACAGGCTTATGCAGCCAGATCTACTCGGTCCGTCTTAGAGCGCTCCGCACGTGCGCTTCGCAGTACACGCTGTGGTCGTCTGCGATTGGGAAGGGCGGTAGCCCGTTGCAAGAGACAGGCACAAAGGTGGAGCACGGGCAAGGGCCCGCGCCGGCGTCTGTAGGGACAAGCGTGGACTCATGCAAAGATCGATAGAAGGAAAACGATCAAAAATCTCTCTCTCTCTCTCTCTCTCTCTCTCTCTCTCTCTCTGTGTGTGTGTGTGTGTGTGTGTGTGTATTTCTGTGTCAGCCAATAGGCTGAGCTGGGGATCCGGGGTTTGTTGAGTTGTGGAGATATCAGCCCCGTCACGGAGACGCGAACGACCGATCTCTTTGGGTATCGAGTGAAATTACCCGTTTCGCCTGGATCCGGATCCGTGCACGAAGAGAAAGAGGGAGAGAGAAAGAGAAGGCTGACGCAAGTCCCACGAGCACGCGCGACGTCAAGAGCGAAAGTGGGATCGGGGAAGGGCGCAGGGACCAACACACTCATGCATCCATACAGACGGTCGACACCCAGCAGTCGCTACCAACGCGCCTTTAAGCGTGCACACACACACACATCAAGCTCCAGTGGACAATGAGAATTTGTCAATTAACTCTTGTACCACCGCATGCATACGACAGAATACCCATGCATTGGGGCCATGCACACATCACACGGAGACAAAGCAGCAATGGAAATAAATGTGAGTCCTTAATACACAATTTCTCACACGGCTGGCCGCTCAGGGCCCAGCCCCCAATCTCTCGGAACTTCGGACAACCGTAGCCACAAGGCCCTGCGGCTGCGGCGTCCGGCCTCCACCACCGCTCAGTCCCTCCGACTGGCTTACCTCAAGAGTATCGCTAAGCCCGTCCCACGTCGTCACTCCGCCTTTCACTTGGGCTTGTCAAGCCTGTTCGACACCACAGACCTAATGCATAGCTCACGCAGCTTGCAGCCGAGATCAAAGAGAAGAAGAGGAAGGGGTTGCGAGAATTTATAGCACGGAAGGCGGTGCGGAGCCAGCGTGAGGTGTGGGTAGCATGGGGTGTAGATAAGTGGGGCAGAGAAAGGGCCGAAGTTCCTGAAGGATCGAAGGAGGCAAGTCGAATGATCTGTGTGATTGGGGTGGGTTTAAGTGGTACGCGCCTTCCACTGTCACCACATTGATCTAACCATCCCAATTACACAGCCAATCGTTATCGATGATGGGTAATGGAGAGGATCAGACGTTGCTCAGGGGAAGACGAAGAGGCATGCAAGAAGGAAATGAGCGGCTAGAGAGGAAGATGGCGTGGGGATGCAAAGCGGGGGAACAGGTTTATGCGGCGCGCAAAAATTTGAAAAGCACCGGCGCGGTCGCTAACCGGCCACGCAAGAAAGACATCAGGGGCAGTCTCGGAAAGGAAAAATATGTTTCTCTTCCATCCCTCCTCTGCTCAAGAAAAGGACAAAAAGAAAAAAATAACCCCCGTTCTTCCCAATCACCTAGAACCCGTACTTCGAGGCTTTACGTGGGATTTTCTTCTGAGGGTACGGGAAGGCACTGAGTACGCATCCTGGCTTATCACATCGTGAGCCCACTTTACTGCCGGCATGGCAGTAACG